GTTTTTAGAATTTGAATTTTTTATTGAATACGTGTATTATAATAATGTTGGGATAAAATCGGTGGACATTCCGTGAAAATATTTAGTGTTGCCTTTAACTTTAAACATAATACTATATATTATTATTTATTATTATATAATGTTATGCATAATATTTAGTGAACGATTAAAGAACACGCATATAGTAATATTAAAATACCGCGCACAGAGGACATACATCGATCGCTTTTTTTATATCATCGATTTGCCGGACCTATAAGATAGCTACTGTATTTTACGATAGGTAATAATAAATTCGGGTGAGCTGAACAGCAGTGCAGAAAAAAAAATTACAATAATCAATTCCGTCTGGAACGCCGGCGGCGGCACGCGGAGGCCCAATGGACGTCAAAAATACTATTCACCACGTGCATACAAACGATTTTTGAAAATAATTATATCACATACACCTTTAATAATAGTCGTAGGTAGGTATATACTGCGCGGTATATACTTTCGACTGAAGGTATATAGTACGTATATGTGGTATTGTGTCAACCCGGGAGCGCATGCGTACAACACCATATATACACAATATTATTACTAAATTATAATATGGATCGCTCGGAGATATGGTAATGGAACTCATTAAAAAATATAAAAAACGAAATTTCTATATATTATGTTGTGCTCAGGTATATATACAAGTATGTGTACGACTTATAAACCTAGTGGCCCCCGAGTTAATTGGCCGACTGTTAATACACATAATATAATATATGTAATATCGTATATGTGAGCTGCGATTTGGTGCTACCGCCGAGCCGCCGCCGCCGCGTTAACCGGCGCGGGTGCGTTCAATTATCGCTCTTTTCGCCGGCGGCTGCGGACCGCGAAACCGCGCGCGCGTACCACCCAACATTCCGCCGGAGACGTTTCATGAGAAATAATAATATAAAACGTCTGACCGCCCTCCGAAAACGCAAAACCAGTTGCTCGCGTATTATACACATTTACACACACACACATTTTTATTCGAGTTTTAACGGGATCGACTTCGTCCTCGTCGGTTCCAACAATTCTTGTGCGCCATTATTATTATTTTTATTTTTCGTTAGTATTATTATTATTATTATTATAAATACGTGTGTTCTTCTATATGTATTATGTATAATAATACAGGGTGATTCACTTCCAAGCACGCCCACCCCCGTGTTTTCCTTTCTTTCAAAATTAATTTATTGAAATGATAATTTTTTTTAATTGCTTATAAACTCCATTATGTTTGAAAATTCTCGAGATTTTTTATAGAGAACCCCATATTTTATTGTAAAATATTTGGTGAATTATTTCTTGAAAAATTCGGACGAGTATATAGTTTCCAGTTATCACTTATCAAAATTTTTTATACTAAGGATAATATACCTTATAATATTAGATCATATTGGATCTAGTATATTTGATATAAATGTTTCAAATCAAGATAGCCCCCCTTCCGAATCCATAATCACGAACCTTTGATCCTTAGTACACTCAGTTAAGGAACTCAAAAACCCCTATCTATATATTTGATTTTAATGCGTTAAAATGTTCAGGAAAATGATCTGCTCGACAAATTTACAGTAGCAAGAGAGTTGTTCTCATTTGAAAAACAGAAGCTTGTATTTTTACTGGATACTTCTTGAATAGTAAACAAAATCACTAGAATTTGAAAAAATAGTATTTTTGAAAATTTTGAATTTAACTGCATTATACAGTAGAAGAAAAAAAGGGGGTGAGCATATTTGATAAATTACCTTGTAATATTATGTACCTCGCATGTATACAATACTGGCTGCTATATTATATTATCTCGTGCCCTATAGCCAATTAATTGTACTTTAACTGTTTCGAGAGTATGATATGCACATTGTTCACATTGCGAATACTGCAGCCAAAGTTTGCAGTTATTATTTTTATTGTAGCCACAGTTGTCACTGTCTTGTGAGTCGTAATTATATCTGAAACATAAGTTTCCGAAGTTAAACCCGCCGACTACAGCATTTATAAATATTGAAGAGTAGAATTATGTGTGACATATTTAATATTATATACCTATAGGTACGATGTTGTATTGCAAAAATTTGATGCTAACGACACAACAATATAATATGAAATAGAACCTTACGTCCCACTGACCCAATGATATCACCTGAAGAGATCCAATAATGTACTAATATAGAGTCACTAGTCACTACCTATATGTACATGCATAATATTAATCGATTGTAAAATCTACGCTATAGTGCTATGATCATGTGGTGTATAGAAATAACACCACTGAAATGTAAAATAATTATAGTTTACATAATATTATGTAAATTGTCAATGGTACGTTTATTTTACGTATACCTATGAATGGAATTACTACGTCTAGTATAATACGCCAACAAATCGCGATGTTGACTTAAAAAGGTCTTTAGTAACAAACGCGATTATAAGGTATACAATAAATTACAAAGTAAACGATAAGATATAAAAAAAAAATCAAATCAATAGTACAATTATCTCGGTTTTGAAATATGATGTTTCTGATAGGTATTGGATTTATTTTTTAGTACGAAGCGTAAACCACTATTAAAAATTAAAAGTGCTTGCCAAGGTCCCAGTTCATCATAATATACGGGAAACGTTATTTCTTTTGTATTTAAATAGTTTAGTTGTATTCTTAAAGCTTAGGAAATGGTGTAATGTTTTTTTAGTAAACAAAATTAGGTTACACCAAAAAAATACCTTAAACATTTAAGAAACAACACGGTTGCAATAATAAATGCAAAAACAGTTTATATTTTTACGGTACAATATTAGTTATTACATGTGAATAAATTACAATTAATCATAATTCATATAACCAGTATAAAATAATAAATTATAAAACAATTTTTATTTTTTATATACAAGATGCAGATATATTTTAATAAATTAATCTTCATGAAAATAAATTGTATTAACATTGTGTCAGGTGAAACGCGATCAATTTTGGATTGTTTATAAAAATGCGTCGATCGAATTTTGATTTACACTTTGGTGGGAACAAGTAATTCCACAAATTTAGTATGGACCTTATATCCTGTAATTATTTATTATAATACATCCCAATGGCGTTATTACATATTTTATAATATTATATATGAATTTAGGTACAAAAGGTATAATAGTTGCTAGGTATGTAACCTAAACACTTTCAAATTATACCTGAAAACTTACCAAGCAGTGAATTAATCAATAACTTTTTTTTTACTTGATTTTTTTTCTAAAATTTGAATCTGTTAATTATTTCAGTAGTAAGGGATCTACATTATTTATAAAATTATTTTTTTATATTCAAAAGAAATATTAAATTTGTTACTCTTTATTATTATTGTTATTGATTATGTAGGTAACTTATTAAATGTAAAATATTTTTTTATTTTTTCTAAAAGGTACAACTCGATGGTGAAATTGTAATTTCTATTTTTTATAAGAACTTATAAATGTTGTACAATGACATAAAATGCTGCATAGTAATAACTTGAATGTAGCTGAAATTTAAAATTATTTTAAAATTAATAATCATGAAAATTCAGAAATTCGCTTATCAATAAAATGTCTGCTGTATTTGTATTATATTTTCTTGCACAACTGAGTAAAACCATAAAATAATATTTCTAAGTATCAATTAAACTGGGTTTTCATTTTTCCCGGGATTTTTCCAAACGTCTTGCTTGAAGGTTTTGGAGAATTTTGTTTGACTATAATATAGGTTAACTGCAGAAGTAAATAAAAAAAAAAAAATACAACCAATAAATTTGTTGCTTCGTGTAGATTAGAAAATACATTTATTTTAAGTATGCATACAAAAACAAAATACTATAAAAAATGTAGTAATTCAATATTATATAATTATAATTTTAGATGATTACATTCCAGCAAATTGTGAGGAAATAAGTTAGATATTGTTAGGGACACTGACACAACTACATGGTAGAATATTTAAAACATATTCAATACTTGTTTAATACATACACATTATACATATGACACGTGTCTTATAATTTAAAAATACTATACATAGGTGTACACACTGCATCATATAATATATACACATCATACTTTGCTTTCCTCAATATCGTAATTAACATTTTAATTACTTCCCTGTATCTTTTATTAAAATCTGATTACGATGAATGGGAATTGAAAATTTATAAAAATTAATTTTATATTTTTAGGTGTGCTTTTTCATAACTCGAGTTAAAAAATAGATCAGCACATATATTTATCATAGCTACTATAACCAGCTGAATACAGGTTGAACACTACCTATATAGTTTAAATAATGAATGGCTTACGTTTTAAACGCGTTAAAAACATTATAGGCACATTAACTTTTACCAGTGGAGAAAAATAATAATAATTTAATAGAAAATTATACGTCGTACTGTTGTAATAATTAAGATAGTGCGAGTTGCGAATAACGCGAAAAAGTGGTCATAAGGTGTAACCAAATCGTGATCACTAGGTTTAATTTGTTTGTGTGCGCCTCCGTGTGATGTTTGTATTTGTCTTACGTATTTTAATTTTTGACAATAAAATAATTTATTTTCAAATTTATTGTGTTGTATTATTTTTATAAGAGAAAACAATATATGACTTGAACTATTATGTTATATTAGGCACTTACTAAATGTCTAAATCCTTGATGGTCAATCATCTTATTATATTACGTAAATGTGTAGAATACAATTTCGTATTACGTTATACTGTACATGCCTCCGTCAATAACGTATTTCTAAACACTTTATTTTTTGAAAATTATTTCTACGTTTCACGGCAGTTGGTCTACTGTTCTGATCAGTAGTTGTATATATATATATATATATATATGCTGCCAAAAACATTTTATTTTAATTTTGATTAACATTTCTAAGTACTTACATACATTAATGAATACATAATTTATTTATGTATTCAAATAAAAAATACCACACAAAAAAAGACATTAAAAAATAAAAAAATAATAATAATAAAAGAGAACATTCTACGGTTATTATTTTGGAAAACCGTTGGAGTATAATATGTGGGACATAATACATATTTACCTACAAGTAAATTTGTATTAATTAATGATAAATATTAAGTAAAACTAAATCAATTTGTAAATTCGAGGTGTTAGGTATTTTGGTACGTTATACAATGGATTTTCATCAATTCTATAGAAATTACTTAGATAAATACTAAGAATTAAATTATATTTTAAGTGAGTCATAATGGATTTATTGACTTAATTCAAAAATATGTGTGGTCTATCTGGGTGTACTATGATTTGATTACGTTTTGTGAATAAATAATTTGTAGGTATAATTAATATGTATTAATATAATGTTAAAAAAATATAACAATAGCCAATAGGAAAGTAAAAAAAAAAAAAATTATAACTATAATTAGCATGGTTCTAAAGCAAGTTATAGTTAAAGTATTTATTTTGTACCTAGTTTAGAAATTACTTTTTATGGTTTGCGTGTTTCTTCTTATTTTCCCTGCCCTAGAATATAAAATGACTTAATATTAGAAATTGGCTTTTTAAAAAGTGAATTAGTTTTAAAGTCGAGTACCTGCTAATTAAAATTGTATCCATGGATTCAGTTTCGTTAATTATATTTATCTTGTTGATAGAAGTTTGGTACGTTCTTGTTGGCAAATGAAGGTTTTGGTAATGGCTTTAAATATCTGTAGTTATTAAGTTTGGTATGTAATTGAACGTCTGATTTTTGAAGATCATTCTGAGTAGAAATAAGTTGTTTTTTTCACTCAACTTGTAGGTGATTGAAAATTGTCCACAAATATTCTCGGTAATTTGAAATCCAATATTTGAAATTCAAATACAAATTTTCATTAATTTCCTCGGTTTTAGTTTTTATAAAACCTACTTTCCGAAAACAATTTCGGATTAGTGCAGGTGGCATGTTTTCCCAGACATTGAAAATCATATGCATGGAATCCGAGACTGAGATTTGGGCAGTATTGTAAGTAGTCGGCAAATTTTCGGCGTTAGATGTGGTTGCAGATTTTGTTTGTTTTAAATAATACTCATATGTTTTTTCGATGCGCATAATATTCTGTCGGAGAGGGTGGACAGATACCATGCTACTTGGTAAATATTTTATTTCGATGTTTTGCAGTTCTATTTGCAAATCTACCATCACATTGTCAATGATGACCAAAATTTTTCTTCCCGATAACTCTTCGTCCAACCATCTTAAAATTGACGCGTAGCAGCTAGTGATCCACGTATTATAACTGGCTTGAAAATGTACAGATAACGTTTTTACATCTTGCAAATATCGTGGAATGTGAATATTGTCAATGATTCTGGGGCGCATTTTATCGGTCCCCGTTATATTGGACGCAAATATAATGCTAAGTCTATGGATAGATTTTTGACATTCCCTATTATCCGGAGGTCCTTTGAACTCACAATTTGAATTTGGTAGGTCGTGATAGTAGAGGCCGATCTCGAATAAACTATATATGTCGTTGGCGTCGTAATTGGACATGACATTTTCGAAAAAGTCTTTGACAGATTTTATTAACCCGTAGTTATTTGCTAAAAAAATTGCGCCTCTATTTTGGTCGGTTACTAGTTGAACTCTTTTATTAGAAATATTGTACTTGTTTTTCCATTTCTCTATCCAATTATTATCAGGAGAAAAATTTTCAACTCCAAGTACTCTTCCCAAACTTCTAGCTTTATCTATTAAAATCATTTTACTCACCCGTACGCTTAAAATACTCGCGTATTCCAACCATCTGACCATGCCTTCCTCCATATGAGTTAATAGTTTGTCATTTTCTCGTTTTTCTCTCAGGTAATGACGACGACATTTTTCTCCAATAGTTTTTACAATTCGGTGTTCTTCAATTTCTTTACGGGTTTTCAACAGTCTTCTTAATGTTCCCACCGAAATATTCAAGATTGAGGCAGCTCTATGTTGAGAAAGGTTTGAAAGTTGTGCGACGTCGTAGCAAATCAACAGCTCTTTTTTCGCCTGAATCGATAACTCATTTCGTTCGTTCGACATGTTTTAAGGAACAATAAGTAAAATTAATAAATTTTAATCTATGAAACACAGCGTTGGAGCGTATTTTAAACTCCACTCAACGCGCTTAACGAGATACTGAATATATGATTGTAATAAAAAGTATTGGTTTACTTTCTGGGTTTGATACGATTTAATATAAATAACGATATCATTATTTGTCGATTAGTACAGACGCTCATCAAATAAAATTAATCCCAATGTTTATATTTTGGTATAATATATATAAATTATTTGAATTCAATTTCACTAAAATTCGAATAGTAAACACATTAATAGCAATATTAATCACATTTATCGACACCAACTGCCTGTTCTTTTGATTCAAAAATAACAATAGAAACTATTATATATCATCGTTACTTATAGTGGTATTTAAGAAGATAAGTAGTTTCAGATAATTTAACTCGATATACTATGTACTCCCGAAATTTGAACCTTTATAAATGTTTTGTATATTGTATGTTAGTTATCCCAAAACAAAAAAGGCATCCGTATTGTGTGTTATCTAACTTAACCCGCCTCAGCTATCTGTGGAATTCTACAATACATCGCGTGACTCAGTGTTAACGCGTATTTTTTTTACCGAATTTTCCGTTATTTATGTTACAACTTCTAAATATTAAGTAATAATTCTAAAAATATGTCAAAAATAGATAGATAATACACAAAATCTAATATACTTAACAATATAATATTATGTTGTTTATAGGTAATAGGTATTCTTATATGTTGTGTAAGCAATATTTTATTGTACTTAACATGATGATATTTCATTATTTTGTTGTTGATTACATGATTTTGTCGTTTCGGTAGGTTGCTCATTGCTCAACTGTGGAATTATTTTGAAGATTTAAAAAAAAAAAATAGTATTTTTACCAAATCGGCACCGCCAACACCTCCGTCGTATATTGGAGTAACCTCTGCCGTACGTCTTCTGCGGGTTGACGACGTGACTACAATTGAGGTGACAGGACAATGTTATTATCGTTTTTTATTACTATTATTGTATTTTATTATTATTTTTTTGTCAGAGGTCAATTCGGACGCCATTACGTGCTCGGGTGACGGAGATTCCGATCCGGTGATCACCCTGTAACAATGCGTATAAAACAGAAAATTACTACATTTATTATATTTTTCCCCATCTCGTCAACGCACGAATAGTGCATTAGTAGCATCGCGCGTATCTTATACAGTATGTATGAAAAATAATAAAAGAAAAGGTTGAATAAAAAATATAATAATATCCACGGGATAAGAATTATGTTTTTTCTTTTCTTTTTCTTTGTACGAACGCACAGTAACTCGTGTCCCGAAAAATTGATGAATATTTTGTTGCCAATGTTTTTTTCGAGTTTGTTCATAGTCACCATTATAATAATGTGTGAAGACACCACTTGCGCTCAATGTAAATCCATTTAAATCGATTACGTAAATCATCCGGCATCGTATAACCTGAACTTGAAAAATTATGCTTAAAAAATGCACATAGAATTTATATGCCCAAATGGACAAATGTAAATGGTCACCTGTAGGTACTCGTTTCGTTTTAAACGTCACAAAATAAATGTCGTTAATTTTGTTTTCATGGTGTATAGAATTCGAAATTATTGAGAACTGCATTTATTATTATATTTGTCGCGCTTTTCCAAGAAAATTTACATAAATTAATTTATGGTGTTACTCAAACTAGTATTGTAAGGTCTTGTTCTTCAATTATGTCCATGACTTTCAATATATTATCGAGGCTTAAATATTATACATATATGTCTCATATAAAAAATAATATAAAAATAAAGTGTCCACTGTGTCCAGACAGTGACCAGGCTATACGTAACATAATAAGCTTGTACATTATAATGTACATTTATACGTAAACTCGTGGTGGTTGCGAACATATATATGTCCATGTTATATTCAATATAATTATCAATCCTCCTTATTATGATATAACCGTTAGATATTATTACTATGGTTCTGGCATAATCGTAAAATGTTAATTAAATATGATTTAGTAATGTTTTTTTTTAATATTTCAATAATTGAAAACAACATTAAAATGTTAGTAAGTACATATTATTATATATTATATGGTGATTATAACCTGTGACTTGAGCACTTAACTTATTCTATGAGATTTGAAAAATAATAATTTACATTATTTAGCTGAATATAATATTATGATTTGTACACATGCAAAATATTATTTTTCAACCGTACAAACTGAATAGGACGTATTAAGCTTGCAATTTATGTGTTTTGATTATTATACCTTTAAAAATTCACCATAAAACTGATTTGTTTAACGATGGGTGCGTAATGTGTAATGGGCTGTGTTGCAATTAATATGAATTCTTAGGAACTAAATATGCCAAAACGGTGTCAATCTTCATAATAATAATTATTTTATAGAATTTAACGCAGTACGGGTTGTTTCGTTTTAAACGTAAAGGATTACGACTATAATAAAGACTTGATCACGTGCCGTCAAATGTTTATATAGGTAATAATATTAATATCACTGGAATAAAATAAAATTTGTTTTGTTGTGTGCGATGAATTTATCGGTAGGGAGACACTATTCCCAATCTGTTTTTAACATTTTTTTTTTCCCCAAAAGTTCTTTTTCTCAATACCATTTTTCCCAAAAGAATTTATCATATAATATTTTGTCTTAGTGTTATCTTATAGTCTATATAGAGGTACCATGTAGGCATATTATTATTATGTAACACACAAATCTGTTAATTGTCGCTGGAAAAAATATTATTTCGTTTTAGAACAACCATCGATGCGCAGTGTTTGTCAATAATATAATGTTATCGTGACGAGCTTTTTGTTTGGTGTTCGGTCATTCGAAACACACGCGTGTAGAAAGCGGATTATACTCGAATGCTCTTCGACGCATACAACTTGATCGATTACCAGGTATATATAGGTAAAACAGTGTAACTCGTGAAACGTTCGAAAAGAAATATTTTACCTGCACATTATTATATTTCAGTTTTTTACACAATTTTTGTGAGTATTAAATCTAATGTGTACTTCATACTTCATAATATAGGTATGTCTATCACGAGTTTGATTTATTTTACTACAGTTGCAGTAGGTACATGTGAATTTTGGACGTCGTCGATTCGTGTAATAAAAATAACGATGACACTGCTGGTAATCCAGCTCTGTCATCCATTTCATGCGATGTATATTATATTATGCAAAAGACGAACGCGTGTCACCGATTCAACGATGCAGTGTCCCATTCGTATTTTTTAAATTTGTTTACTGCAATTCCCAAGTCAGGTCATCCTTGCATCCCACGCGCAGTGACGATTCAACGATGTCTGATGGGTCGGGTTGACAATAATACGTATTGGCTTTGAAAACACAATAATAATAACACAACAACAATGTTTTGAAGTCAGATGATTGCGGCCCAACTGAATGACGCACATAATAATAATACTCCATTATTATAATGTAAAGTTATTATTATGATTATAAGCGATGTAATGAAACGAATGACAATATTATATATTATAATATATTTTTGCATAAATGATCCGTTATAATGTTATTGTGGGACACACCTCTCCACGCACTGACCTACTCTAAAACGATTTTTCGCCACCGATCCGGCAAAGTAGGACTTAAATCATCAGCGGACCCGCCGCCGCTCGTGCGTGCGCGCGCGACGGTCATTCGCTGTCCGTCCACTGCTATTCGTTCTCGGAATCCATAAACGTCCGAGTGCATTTTAACGACACCGTTGACTCCGCCGACACCGGAAACCGCATAATTTTTTAATAACCCATCACCTATCCTATCGCCATTTGTCTTAATATATAAATATAGGTACGTTGTGGAAGAAAATAATATTATTATTATTTTACGTTCTGCACAAACGCAAAAAAGTTAGTACATTGCTCGCACGTCAGAGCTTAAACGTTTCTCGTAAATTAGTGATATTGTAAACGATAAAGTATATCTGATAGGCCGTTAAATAAAAAAAAGCACGCACCTTAAGATCGAGCGGATGCAAATACTGCAGAATTCTTTCCCAATTTCGTAATTCCCGTCATTATAATTACCACCTGTATATATAAATATACAATCTAAATTACCTAAGTTTAATTGTGCTTTTGATCAGGCTTCCCGAAAATTACTCAATAATATTTCAAGCGGTTATAGTTGAATGGCATATCAAAGCGGTTGTGTACGTATATAGTTAATTACGGACTAAATATATGTATCGATGGTCGAAAGCCTTGGACTTGTTATATGTTTTGAACACGTGCCTAGGACGTAATTTACTGCTAGCGTATCAAAATACATTCGTTTCACCTCTGATGTACAAATACCTGAGCAAATAAAGTATCGCATACATTAAATCAGTGTTGCATTATAGATCAAAGGCTAAACGTGGTCAGTTGCTGGAAACAAACGAAATAAAAACGATTTTATACAAAATATTATTCTTCATCTTCCCTTGGATTGAGTATAAATATTATTGTTTGTGATTAATTTACGATAAATACATTTGAAAGCGTCCAGAATTATATTTGAAAACTCGCGTGGAGAAACTATTGAATAACGCACATCGTTAACAATAATAATTACTGTTCCCCATATCTATGCACAAGATTTTTTAAATGATTCAGATAAAATTCTTGAATGTATTAATGTATCGAAAATGCTGTATGCTAAATAGTTTTTTCTTACACAATTTATAGAACCAATCGACGTATACAATTCGTTAGCAGGCTAAAAATGTAAAATTAATATTTGAAAAAAAATTGTATTATTCCGAATAATACATAAATCAATAATATGTCATTCGTATTTGCGTTGGGTTGATATTTTTTATTCTATTCACTGTAAACCCAAAGTGCGACCTAAATACCACAAGGGATTCGCAGAATCCTTAAACTATTAATTGTGTTTATTAAAGATATAAATAGTAAACGTAAACTATTGAAAATTTTATTTCAATTGATCTTTTAGTAGATTATACATAACTTACTTAAGTTCACTAAAATTTGCTTATAGTTACTACTTACTAGTTT